CTTTTTATTAATTTGTTTATTTATTTTTTCATTCCTTGTGTAATCTGTTTTGTTTATTTTTTTTTATTCCCTGATTCTGGTTATACAATGCTGATCTCAAAATACCTTCTTGATATGAAAATATATAAAAAGGTATAAATCCCTCCCTCCAATTATTTTTTCAAATTTTCAAACTTTATTTACTTAGACAGGTAAAACATTAACACACAAATTTTTTTTAAATCTTTAAATATTCCCCTAACACACCTTTATTTCCTTTTATGATTACTAGATATGAATCCATCAAGTAACTCGAAAAAACAATCATTTTTACAACTTTTATCTAATTCATTATTTTTTGATAAAAGTAAAACAAAATTTTCATCAAGTACTGAAATTATTCACATCAAAAAAACAAAGAAATTCGAAAAAATGAACGAAGAATTACATGTAAAATATTTAACTTATTTCTTTAGATAACATTTATAATTTTTTTATAACGTTTCTAACTATTTCTTTATTATTCTTACACCTTTACAGTCATATGAAAATTTACTTGAAACAAATTTTAAGATTTCAAAAACCTCCAAACTTTCAAGTTCTGACATGATAACGCGTGAATCATCACAAGCTTTCAAAAAAGAAAAATTTAAAAATATTTCCTTAAACTTTATCAAAGAACGTTCAAATTTAAAATCTGAATGGAAATCTAAATACTTGGCATTGACAACCCAAATGAAGGTGTTGGAGGATGAGCTTGAAACACGAATGAAGGAGTTGGAAGCTACCAATGCCAAGTTAGGCGCAAAGAAAAATGAATTGGACGTCACCGTTACTAAATTAAACACGAAAAATAAAAAACTAAAAGCTAAAAATGACGAGCTAGGTGCACGCAACAATGAATTGGCTGCTCGAATTGAAGAATTGGAAGCTTCTAATACCGAATTAGACTATCAGAAGAAAGAAATTGAAGCTTCATATGCTAACATTAATATACGCAACCAAGAATTAGAGGCTCTAAATAAAGAAATAACTGAACAAACTAAGGAAACAGAATCTTCAAATGCCGAGTTAACTATTAGGACCAAAGAATTAGAGGTCTCTAACACCAAAATAGATAATCAGAAGAAAGAATTAGAGGCTTCTGATTACAAGTTAGCTGAACAAATTAAAGAATTAGAAGCTTTTAACATCAAGCTAACTTCACAAATCAAGGAGTCTGAGGTTTCCAATGTCCAGTTAAATGCGCAAAAGAAGGGGATTGATGATTTAACTGCTGAATTAGAGGCTTCCAATTCCCAGAAGAAGAAAACAAAGACTTCTAATTCTGAATTAGCGGCCTACAAGAATGATTTGAAAGTTTCCAATGCTGAGATGAACACTGAAATTAAAGATTCGGATGCAAAATTCTCCGAAATAACATTGAAAAAGGATGAATCAGAAAATAAAGTAAGTTTATTAATTTTAATATCAATTTTTACACTTTTTCTTGTTTATTCTTTAATCATGTATCTTTTTTAGTTGATGCAGGACATTGAATATCCACTCAAATCATCCTCACATATAAACATAGAATCACACCATGATCGTGATAGGGTTTTTTCATTTGGCCACTTAGTTTCCCCCTATTTTTTTTTATAAATGTATGAATTTTGAAATATTTGAATTTTATAATTTTATAAATAAATGAAGAATTTTTTTAAATATATGAGTTTAATTACATGAAAAAATCATAAATTTGGAACAAAAACAAAGCAAATTGACTCGAATCCTTAATAAAAAGCTTTAAAATTACTCTCTAAAACCAGAATTCAAATGAGGGATCTAGAATTACTGAATCTGCAAAAAAAAAATTAAAATCCTAAAAACCATTGCATGATAGTTCAATGCTAACTTCATTAACCATGTGGTGCAAAATGGATGGCAAAAAAAGAAAAAGTTTCTTAATAATTTTTTATACAAGTGATGGTAATGTATTAAAAAAAGAGTAATTAAAATAGTAATTATTTTCTTTAAAAAAATTCTAATTTGGATAGTTAAAAGCATTGGATTATTTTTTTTTTGGAAAATGATCTATTACTAAAATTTTTTGATGTTTGCTTCAATTTTATTAGTAATGTAATTTTAATAAATCTTCTTTCACATTGTTAATTGAAGAAATACCGAGACTTTACATCAAAGATTGAATGAAAAACAAAAGAGAAATGAGTTCTTAACCAAGAAACTTTAGATTCGATAAGGTAACTTCATAAGTTTCTTGATAGTTCTTTAAGTGGCATTGATCATTAACTCAGACGGTTTTAATTTCAGAATTTTCAATATCGACAATTCCACCATAAATATATCCATTCAAGGTATTAACTTGTTTTTTTTTTTATAATTGTATTCTTACAATTATGTGATTAAATATATATACATTTGTAATGTTGACGCAGCACCTAATGATTTGCTAAAATTGATCGCAGGGACAACTACGTGATGTCAAGTAAAGATCTAATAATTGCGTTGCTATTGCATTACTATTGTTATTTTGCAATTCTCTAATGGCGGGGTGACGACAATTCAAATCATTATTACAAAAAAATATTACAATGGCACGGTTTCATTAATTTGTATTTAACATATTTCATATATAATTATTATTGGGTCTTCACATTAAATTGATTTCGAAACCGTAGAAAAATATGCAAAACTTTAAATCTCAATGATTCACAATCTCGCCGGAAGTTCTTGTTTAAGATGACGAGAATGAAGAAGACAAATCAACATTCAAAGTTACTATTCATCAACATGAATTATTACAGGAATCAAATCATTAATATATCATTGATTCATTACCTGATACATTGAATCTTGATAATAATAAAAATAATATAATAATAATAACGAGAATAGGGATAGGTATAGGATTGAAATAAGTCCAAGAATTATAATTACCTATTATCAATATTCAAAAGAAAACAATGCAACTACCACCACCATCATCACAACGACATAAAGAAAATTTTCATAATTCACATTCGGATCATTTAATTAGATTATTTGATTAATCCAATCATCATAATTATCTTTACAAAAATATTATCAGAATTAGATGTATAAGAAGAATTAGTTCATGAACTTATTTTGGTATTAAATTTTCTAAAGGTGAAGGATTGAAATTTATAATTTCACTTTTAAATCAAGGTTCAAATGAAATCAGGAAGAAAGCTTATAGATGTAGCGATGCAGGTAATGAAACTAAAAAAAAAGTTTCGTAATAAGAAATTAATTCACCCCCTAAGTCGCCTTATTGTTATCATCTTTATTATCATCATTATCATTGTGATTATGATTGTTGCTTGACCTTTTTGGTGGCTGACCACATGTACGTTTAAAATAACTCTTAATATGTTATCAGTGCGTATAACTATAAATTTATTAAATATTAAATATTGCCTAATCGCGGATAATTAAGTTTTAAAAAACCAACTCCTCTTTCTTTCCACTGCCCTTACATACAATACAATTTCGCACGAACTGTATGTCGTGCAATCTCATCCTCTTCTCTAGTTTTTGCTAATTAAATTAATATTAAAAAATTACTATTGTTATTATTATTTATCATTATGTTATTGTAATTATTATATATCATTATATTATTTTTATTATTTTTATTAATGCTTCTACCTTGTTCTTGTAATGAAGTTTTTGTTTCCTTACCCTTATTCACATTCTCTCCTTTATTATCTTGCTCTTGTGAAGGTTGCTCATCAAAGATATTTTGTTTTCGTGAGCTTATATTGGCAAAAGAATTTCCAGCATATTTTTTTCCTCATCCAAATATGCTTTTATTTTGAGTCGAGATAGGAGGAGCTTTATCGTTTTTTCTCTTTTTGCTTGAAAGTGTTATCAAATCATATAGTGATAAGGTTCTATCTCTTTTCATTTTAATTTAAATTTCTAATAAAATATATATTTTATAGATGAATTTTTAAAAATTTATGATGAGAAAAAAAAAAAGGAAAACGAATAAAATCGAACCTTTTTGATGCCTTCTATTATTTACTTGGCATCTGATAATAATTTTTTATTATTTTCTTTATTTCACATTAATATTTTCCTTTTTAT